TTTATAATTTAATAAAATGATTTTCACCCCCAATTTATTAATTTCTTTATTTATTATCTCCCTATTTAATTTATTTGGAAATTTTGGAGTCATTGGGGTAGAGGAAAGATATGTTAAGAGTGGTCATGATGAGACTTGGTTTGAGGACGAGGTTGCGTTCTTCCGAGAGGATGGAGAGAATAACAGCACCCCTCCTGCTGCTGTTTGTTTTTTTAATTTTTAAAAATTATTATAGTTCGATAACAGGCTGAGGACATGGTTGCCCCGATCCAGTAGCTCGTAAACTGGGTATTTTGATAAGATCCGGGTGTGTAAGCAGATATTCTTTAGTACTCCGTAATATTAATGCCCATACCCGGTAAAAATTTCTTTATATGTCTTGTAGAGATCGAGATTTCTGAAAAGCCTGGGCCTGTTCCTGGACAATGCGATTTGATTTATTGACCTTTGCGGGTTCCTGGCCTGGAGTCAAATAAAAACCCAGGCCCAGGTAAACCCAAGTAAGTTCAAAAAATGCCTGGGCCTGAACTCTGGGTAGTGTGAACCCAGGCCTTGGTCCAAGCCCAGATCGATCTCTAATGACTCGGAGTTATGCCAAGAGTCATTGGTGTCCTAGTAAGAGGTCCTTAGTTAAGTTCTCTTATAATGAATATAACTCTCGGATTCTGGATGTATCTAAATATCATTTTTCTAATTCATTTGCAAATTTTTTAAAGAATTTTGCCGGAAAATGCATTAAGCGTGCAAAATGTTTTAGTGATGCTGATTGCGGTGTTAAAGGAAAGTGTGTTGGAGGGACAAAAATAGGCAAGTGTGACTGTTCCAAATGCCGTACCGGACTCATATGTAATTTCGATGAAATTTAATAAAAAATGATTTTATCCGATTAAAGGCAAGCACGAAGACTCGAAAACTTGTGGAGGTCTAAAAGACGCCTGTAGCAAATTCAAACTTTGCCAATGCGAACAGGCCTATAAAAAACATGGTTATGAAAATGCTCATAAAGTTAGAACCGAATTTTGTGGTGTAAAATCTTGCAATTGGAATAATGTAAGTGGAAATAATTTTATAGATTTACATTATGTGTCTGACCGTCAATAAGATAATACATACTCAATACATGACACATTTTTAGAATTTGTTAGCCAATGGGATATTAAACGTCCCTGTATTCACCTTTATCTTATTAATAACTGGATACATTTTCCTATTCCTTAGTGTCTAAGCCCTAAACTTTTATTTGAGATAACCCTCTATATACGTTAGTCTAATTTTATGCTAAAATTTTTTCCACGCCGTAATTTTTACCTTGTAATGAGGTGTCTGTTTCAAATCTAGAGAAATTATTTTTATTTAAAGTTAATAAATTTATTATTTAAAAAGGATGAATGTTTTGGTCTGCCTTGCAAGGCTGGCAATTGTCGATGCAGTAAAGTCTAATAAATAAGGAAAAGAAGAAAGTTTTGAAAAGATATAGTAAATGGTTTTCATTTAAATTGTGATAAAAAATGAATAAAATAATGTCAATCTAACATAATCCTTTCTTAATTTTATTATTTTTCTAAATTCGACTTTAAAATAAATCTATAGATCTGTCTAATATTAATTGAAATAAACATGTAGTAATCTGTAAATTAAAGATTTAATTATTGAAATTAAAAAAAACGACCAACTTATAAATTGTTTCATAATAAATACAAAATATTATATAGATTTGGTTAGCCATTTGGAGATTAAATACCCCTCTATTTAAATTACCCCTCTATTAAGATACCCCTCTATTTAAATTTATAAGTTTGATTTCTGAAGGCTGTAACATCTTTTCGCTTGTAGAGACCGGACGAATCAGATATACAGGAAGGACAATATACCGTATTTCCTAAAATAGTACTCCCGGGAGTACTATTTTTCAACCCTCCTCCAAAGGGGAGTACTATTTAAGGGGGGAGTACTAATTCAGGGGGGAGTACTATTTTTCAACCCTCCTCCATGATTTATCATAGGAAAAATTGAAAAATTTCAAAATTCTAAATGTCTAAATCAATTAGATTCGTTATTTAAAAATGCCGGATCTGGACCCGGATTTTCAAAAAAAATATCCAAATTAGTATAAAATTGAGCAAATTTCGGACATTTAAACACAAGTGACTTAAAATAAGGATTATTGGGGGAAATCAAGAAGGATATTAATGAATTTGGAGTGATATTGAGGGGTATAAGGGGACTCAAGCGATTAAGGGTAGATATCTAAATTTACCTCTATATCCATCTTGAACTCCCGACCAGTTTAATACACTTGATATGTGTCAAATTCCCTAGATATCCTTCAAAAACACTGATATCCCCCTTAATCCTTTCAAACCACTTAATCTCACGAATCCACATATATCCGCCGATATTTCTACTGTCACTGAGATTGTCACTGAGAGAGATTGGATATCTGAGGATTTTCGGATTAGAGGTAACGAAGAAATATCGGGTGATTAAGGAGGATGTATGATTCAATTTCATATCATTATTACTCTTACTTAACAAAAATCACCTAATATAGTATCTCATCCTTCATTAATTCCTCAAATTCCTTTATCAAACCATGCCACTTGATCAATCCAGAACACATTTTATCACCCGATATAATCCCTTTATATCACCCAAATCCACTTTTACTCCACCAACTAATCACATTATATCTCTTTAATCGTCGACAAATTTTAGGTTAAAATTTCGGTTCGTTTTCGGTTAACCGAAAGCTGTTCGGTTTCGGTTATCGGAGAATCAAGTGAAACCGACAACCCTACTTAAAATAAATAAAATGCTTCAATAAGTAAATTCCAATAGAATAATTCAATGAGTCTTTTATAATTTTTTTCAAATATAGAGGAAAAATATTTTAGGGGGGGGGGGGGAGTACTATTTTAGGGGGAGTACTATTTAAGGGGGGAGTACTATTTTTCAACCCTCCTCCAAAGGGGAGTACTATTTAAGGGGGGAGTACTAATTCAGGGGGGAGTACTATTTTAGGAAATACGGTAATAGGGATACGGAAATGAATGAAAGACGACGAGTGATTCTATTTACATTAAAAAGAGTCAATTTTGAGTGATTCAAATTTTATTCCCTACTAACTTTGTTCAATGAAAATCGTATCTCTCCGTTTTACATTCATTTTTTTGATCTGTATTATTTTGTTTTTCCTTCACGTTCCATCTGAGTAGGCGGCTAGGATAAATTAAAAAGATCAAAGTTATTTAAAATCAAACAGCTGTTATTGCTAATATATTTTTTTGGATTTAAATTTGAGTGACTTCATTTATGTCTAAAAATTCAATAAAATTCCATTCCAACTTACAAAAATATTTATTTTAATTAATATTCTCTAAAATGAATTTCGGTACAGGGCCAACTAAAAAATTCTGCCATGTTTGCCGTGATTGGATTGAAGTTTTTGATGAAAAAGTACAATGCGAAAAATTTACAAGTTTGTTTTTTATTTTGCATATATTATTCGCTTTTATCGCCAAGCGACACTTAAATTCTAGGCGAATATAATAATTGGTGTTGTCAACAAAGGTGCCGGAAATCGGAACTGTCGGAAATCGGAATTCCGACCGACCTCTGTTGTCAATGATCTATATCGACATAAGGTTTAACAAACTGAAAAATATGAAAGATATAACAATTGTGTCCTTTGTAATAGTCAATTGTAAATTTAACTCCATACATTATTAACCTTTCAATAACTTTAAATAAAGGCAGATTGAGCATGAATCTTTCTCTATATATTTGAAAGTCAGTTTTATCCCCATTATAGGGAATAGTGATTATGATCTCAATTTTCGAGATTACAACTATGATTTTTCCCAAAAATTATAGTTAAAAACTATTTAAACTCTCTAACTCGAAATGCTCGACTAATATTTTGAACTATAATTAATATTCTTTCTGTATTATAATTTCAAAACAATTCCCTTCGTATTACAGACAACATTCAAACGTTATTAGTGAAGAACAAACTTAAACAAAACTGAACCAAAAATTTCAAATTAATTTTCATATTTTAAGTGCACAAAAGTTGTTTCAAATGTGCCATCTGTGATATTCAATTAAAACCAGGAAGTTGCTCTAGAGATGATGGAATGATGTATAGACAATTTATGTGTGATAAACGTTCCCCTTTATGGTTTTGTTCTACTCATATGATGCTTGGTTCTGGAGAAAAGTGCCAAATGTTGAGAGAAAAATTGGCTAGAATGAATAACCAATAAAATTTTTGCAAAACAAATAAAATATCCAGAAAATGTTTTTTATCAAATAATTTTTAATAATGTATAATTTTAAAATTAATTTTGGTTTATTAAAATGTCGGAGAATAAACTTTATTTGTGTTTGGCTATCATAGTCTAGGTGGTGGCATGGTGATCTAATTAAATGTGTCTTTATCTAAGACCTAGATATAAGTATAATAAAGATGAAAGAATAACACATTCCAAATCGAGATTTAAGTCAGACATAGCAAATTCAATGTAATGGACATAGAAAAAAAACTATCCCGAAGCTAGACCGATTAATAATTATGGTCTCTATTATTTATACCGCCGAATTCAATTTTTAACTCTAGCCAGTTAAATCCAAGGGATAAATCAGTTTAAAAATTTTTTGGAAAAATCAATTTTGAATAATAAATATCTCTTTCATATAATACCTTCATTCTCACACAATCATTAGCTTTAAAAATTTAAATTGACATGTGCTCCTCAATTTGTCACCATTTCTGTCTTTTTTCGTCACAAAGATTTTTTTATTTAAGGTGTTTTTGGTCTATGTTCACTTAATAATGGCTTTAAAAGAATTATATAAAACATGTGTTTGATTTTTGGGTAGAAATATTAAAATAGAAAAAAGTCCAAAAATTTTTAATTTAAAACACAATCTTTTAGTCATTTAAATTATTTCCCTCGAAAAATTTAAAATTAAAATTTGGCCGAAAAATCCACAAAAAAATGAATTTCGGAACAGGCCCGACACCCAAGTTCTGTCACGTTTGTCGAACCTGGATTGGCGTGTTTGAAGACAAAGTGCAATGTGAAAAGTATACTAGTCAGTTAAATAAATATTTTATTAAAAATCAGAAAAATCAGAATCTATTTATTTAGTTCATTTAAAATTAAATTTACAGCTCTTTAAAACTCACGATAAAATCAAGCGTTAAAAAAGCTGCCACTTTTGCAATGAATATAAAAATTCATTAAAAAATCAAAATAAAGCTTTCTCCATAGAATAGGTATTATCTAATCTACTTAAGTAAACAAAAAGATAATAATCATTTCCTTAAGTAATTTCAATTTTTTATTGAAAAAACGAATTTTAGTGCACAAAAGTTGCTTCACATGTGCTGTTTGTGATTGCCAATTAACTCCAGGATGCTGTTCTAGAGATGATGGATTAACAAATTTACAATTTATGTGCAACATAAGGTCTCCAATTTGGTTTTGTTCTACACATATGATGCTCGGTTCAGGAGAGAAATATCAAGCATTGAGGCAAAAATATGGGAAAGTTCAACAATAAAGTCATTAAAATAATAAAACTATACTCAATACATGTCAAATTTATTTTTATTTTAAATAAACTAAATGAATTTTTTATACTTTTGTGTAATCTTTATCCCAAGTAAATATTATTATTTATCTACAAATCATTCAGAAATTCTTTTAATCTACTGGTCGGTATTGCTAGAGACCTTAGTCAATCTATATGAACCCAACCAACTGAGCTACCCTACCAAAAGTCGTGCCTCCTCTCTCGTTATGTATCATTTAGACCAGAACCAATCCTTACAATAATGACTAAAAATATTTCAAATTAGATTCAGGTTGAATTGCTAGTTTGTTATCTGCCAAATGTTAATAATCATATTTAACATTCTATTTAAATCAGCTATTTATATTCAAATCATAGTAAAAGAGTTTTATATCTAAATAAATCGAACGATAATAACTGTTAGTAGAAGAAAAGACAAAATACGTAGGTAAAAAAGTTATAAAAAACGAAAGTATTCATTTGTCAGACCGTAAAAAATATAGGACCAAGTATATTAAATTAGTTTTTACTATAAATATGTGGATTAAATAAATGTCTGATAAGAAAATGTTATAATTGAACTTAAAGAAGAAGATTTTCTGGAAGTGTTTTTAATCGTGTCACGACACTTGCTGATATGACATTTGCAGACCCGACACTTGCAGACCCGACTTTTGCAGACCCGACATTTGCAGATGCCGACACTTGCAGATATGACACTTGCAGATCAGACATTTGCAGATCCGACTTTTGCAGATTAGACCCAGTTCGCTCTCTTCTTTACCTTATCTATAAACCGTGGAGTAATTGCTGCTGCGGAGGAATCCTGGGATGCCCATCTCATCGATGATAGGAATAGGATCATGTTACGAGCCCAGAGCCCAGCGACTTTTGACTCCCGCGAAGTGCGTGCCGCAAAACCCCGCGCGAAGCGCGGGGTTTTGCACAAGCGCCTCGCCGAAGCTCCATAGGTCTACGTTGAACATTTTGAACCTCCGGAAAAAAGAGAATCTCCGGAAAAAAGAGTATGGGTCTTATATCAAAACATTTCCACCGGTATATTATACTATATCCTTTGATTTTTTAAGATTTTTAAATTTTTAAAAAATTTTTTTTCAAAAATTAATATCTGCAAAAGTCGGATCTGCAAATGTCTGATCTGCAAGTGTCATATCTGCAAGTGTCGGTATCTGCAAATGTCGATCTGCAAAAGTCGTCTGCAAATGTCGGGTCTGCAAATGTCATATCTGAAAGTGTCGTATGACCGTTTTTAATAGGATTGAAGAGTAATTGTTTACTCGATTAATTACGCGCCCTTCCTCGAACAAACACCTCAATTAACAAGAGAATTTGTATAATAATTACTAAGGGTAATTATTCGAGGATACTATTTTTGTCAGCTGGTAAAAATAATAAAGAGATTGTAAGGAAACATAAAAATAAATAGAAGAGAAAGAACTAACAAATATCGAGCATCGAGAATGCTAGATGCTAGTGTTCGACAGCCTTCCCCATGGACGGTGGTTCACTTGGGATGGTCGGAGTCTCTGCTCCCGAGCTAATGTCTCCCTCACCGTGGCTAGAACCACCTTGTTGACCACTACTTTCTCCTCTAAAATAAATTTTGCCTTCTTTATCTTTAACAAATACGCCATTATCATCAGAAGATGAGGATTTTCCTTCTACATATACTGCTGGCGTTTTTTCTCTATCTTGTGGATTTTGAGCTGGAGGTGGTACACGAACCGGTGGATGTTCAGTTTGATCTTAAAAAATATTGAAATAAAATTTTTTATAAAATTAAAAAGTGCCTCTAATTGCAACAGGTCGATTGTGTAGTTCCCGGTGACGTTGCTGATCAGCAAGGGATCGTGCAATTGCTTCATCCAAATCAGTATCAACTTTAATTTATAATTTTCTTTAAATGTCAATAGGGTTATTTTAGAAAATTGTGAAAATCAAGTTAATATAAATAAAAAGTAAGACCGAAACATGAACACAATTTTTTAAGCCAACTCCAACTCATTTTCTTCTTAGACTGTAATTCTTCGCGAGTTGAACGTTTAGGACGTTTCAAATTATTTTCAGTCAAAATAACTTTTCCTCCATTTTGCAAAATAATGCCTCGATCACAATAATTTTTGCAGATCCGACTAGCAGCATATTTGGCAGTAGCTTGATTTTTAACATTTTTTCCAAGTTTGTTTTTGTTAGATTTCAGACATTTATTTAAATCAAATAAAATACAAATTAAAAATAGAAAAATGAAACTAGTTGACAATTTCATTTCTTTAAAATAAAAATATATTAATGTTATTTAAATATTAATTATGCACTTGATAAGCAAAATAAGAATGCGCAACACCAACTTTTGTTAAGACGGTTACTGTATTTACACGCTTAATTCGCCTCCCTCGAATAATTCCCCTCTCTCGATTAATTTCCCTCCCTCGATTAATTCCCCTCCCTCGAATAATTCCCCTCCCTCAATTAATTCCCCATACTCGAATAATTTCCAATGCTACGATGAGTTGAAACTATAATCTCCCTCCCCCAAATACCCTACATATGTTCAAATTTAAAAACTCGAATAATTCCCCTCCCATGAATAATTCCCCATGCTAAGGATGGGTTGAAAAAATAATTCCCCATTGGAATTAATCGAGTAAATACGGTAAGCTCGTACGCAGGGACGAGTATTAATTTTTCCATAGCAAACGCAAATAAAAATTGCAGAAAAATTTGAAATAAATGAAAGTAGCATTATTAATTTTAATAAAATATTTTTATATTCAGCCAGAGAAATATTTTTAAATTAATTTTTAATTTATTTAATATTTAATTTAAGAAATGCTAATAAATGCTATGAAATAATTTTGTGTTTTAATGCCTTATTAAAGAATTAAAAAATCCCTTTTTAGAATCCCCGCTTCATTCCACTTTTCCATATATTGGGATGAGGAGAGGAAAGGATGAGGGAAGGGGGGGGGGTCTTTTACATTTAAAAATAACAACACTCATGTCATTAATTTGCACTTTTCTCTAAAATTTCTTTAATATATTTACCGCTTTCTTCGATAAAAAAAATAATTTTTAATTTTGAAATTTTGCACTAATTAAAATAAAAGATTTTCAAAAATTTATTTAAATGTTTAAAGTTTTCAAAAGCAGAAACTTTTTATAGCATTTAAACTTCGATTTCAGAAAAATCTTTACTTTCAGCAAGTACTGTAACGGAAAAATAAAAATAATCACGTGCCTCTCATAACGCAAAAAAATTAAAAGAAATGAATGAAAAATGCGGTTTAATTACCCAAGTTTAAGTTAAGAGATTAAAATAATGGAAAAATGTCTGCAAATAAAATGTCTGCAAGGAAGAAAAAAAAAAGAAAAAAACAGCAACAGAGGCTAATATATCGCGTCTCTCCAATAATAGCAGCAGCAACGAAAATTCAAATTCTCTTAATTTTCTTATTGATTGTCAAGTCACTTTGGTGAAATCAACACCAACAATAATCAATACTTTTATTCCAACTCTGGCAACAGAGCAAACTCCAATTTTATTAAACTTTAATAAAACTCTAACTGAACAATTCTACCTAATTAGTAAATCAGTAGATTCACTTAAAGAAAAACAACAAGAAAAAAACCTTATGAATATTTATCAGGGGCAACAAATTTAAAACTATTTCAGCAGAAGATTTAGAGCGTGAAAGAAGTATTGTTGTATGTGGTTTGACAGAATCAACAAAAAAACTTTCATCTGAATAAATTTCTGATGATTAAGTTGCAATAATAAACTTAAACGACTCGTTAGGTGTTAAGTGCGCAGCCAGGTTTTTTACCGTATGGGACCTTCGTCTAACCCACCCCTTTACCATCTAGAAAATTTCAGCGTGAATTTCTCAAAAAATAGAAAACAATTGGCAAAAAATCTTTCACTCAAATCAATAAACGTGAGTCAATGACACCAGCACAATTACAACAACGAAAGGAACTAGTTGTTGAGCAAAAAAAGGAGAATGGAAAATTCGCAATTGGACTGGATAGTTTATGGAGACGCAGTAATTTTGAGATCGGAAGTTCGCATTTTTAAATACTATGAAATAATTTAAATACTATGAAATAATTTTGTGTTTTAATGCCTTATTAAATAATTAAGAAAAGCCCTTTTTAGTATCCCCGCTTCATTCCACTTTTCCATATATTGGCATGAGGAGGGGAAAGGACGTCGGGGCCTTTTACATTTAAAAATAATTTGCACTTTTCTCTAAAATTTTCTTTAATATATTTACCGCTTTCTTCGATAAAAAAATAAAATAATTTTTAATTTTGAAATTTTACATTAATTAAAATTAATAATCTTCCAAGAATTTATTTTAATGTTTAAAGTTTTCAAAAACATAAACTAATTTTTTAAAAACTTCTTCATTAACTCAATGATGTTTACCTTGATAATGATTAAACTAATTACCTTGATAATGATTAACCTAATTACCTTGATAATGTTTAATCCATTATCATTACCTTATCACATTTTGTTGTGTCCTAGGACAACTCTTATCTACTCCTTTTCAATTATTTTTCTGACGCAAGATTTACAAAATTTTTATTTAAACAAGGCATTTTATTTTTCTGACGATATGAATTACTCTTAATTAAAATGGTGTAAATCTGACGGCCCGAAATTTGTAGTTTTATTAAAAAGGAAGAAAATTAGCTTCTCGACATTTCAAACATGAAAAATTTTACTAAATTGTTAAATATTTAACTTAGTCTAGTCTTTCCCATAGGCTACCTCGAGTTCTGGAGTAGATTCCCTCCCACCTCGAAATTACGAATATCTACATCTTATGCTTTTTTTATCTAAAAAATAAAGATTTTTATCATCCAATTTATACTTGAAAAAGACTGAATGAAAAACTACAAAGACAGAAAAAATTTAGGTTAAATGTTTGCTAATCAAATTTTAAATATAAATTAAAATA